AGAAAAGGGAAAGAGAAAGGACCAACGTCACTCAGCTCTCAGTTCAAAGTCAAATAGTGACTCTGAAGTATAAGTAAAAGAAGAAAAGGATTTATTTTTGCCTTTAGAGTTTGATTGGTCCAAATTTCCTATTTCAAAGAATAACAAGGCAACTATGGTGATACAAAGGAAAAAGTTAAATGAAAAATAGAAATGATAATAAACAAATACAAAAATTTATAAAATATATGAATTAGTATTGTTATTATTATTGAATATTTTTTGTCGTATATATATATAATTAAAATGTTTTCTAATACGATAAAGACAGCATGTGGTCGGATTTTACTCATACAAGACTCTTTCTGTTGGGTCAAAAACTCACCATCACCTATCACCTTTCACCCGTTAGAAGCACTTCTTTGTGATTATTCCAAACACAAGTTGAAGAATGCTTCAAAGTGGTAATGTGAAACAGTGAATGAGTTTTTTGATGAAGGGGCTGTCAAAAATGTGTGAACCTTATGATTTTTTTTAAAGTATAACATATTTTAGTTTTGTTTAGTAATTATAAACACATCACATAAAACCTGCTGCTGCTACAATGAAATGCAATCAACAAATCAATCCAAACCCTGTGATCATACAATAAAATAGGCAAATACAGATATTAATACAGATTTAAAGTGTGAATTCATATGGTTATACCTGAATGATACAGAACTATTGCCATTTTCAGTAAAAACTACATTGAAATTTATGTGCAAAAGTACCCCAGTATGCTCCAGACTAGGGTATAAGTGAAGTACAAGTAAAAAATGTCAGTGTGAAATCAATCACTAAAGCAGTTCAACCAGCAGCTTGTGAAGTAGCTGTTAGCATGTCGAGATGTCCTGCATCTCAGCAAACAATATCTTCTGCCAGAGGGAAGAAGCTGGAACATGGCATTTCCAGTCTGGATTCACAGTCCTTTTTGCAGAGCACCTTATGATCATAAACAAAGCGATGTGTGGTTGCCTGCACTGGGACGAGTGTGTTTGATGTCATAAATGTGCAGGGTGTCAGAGGGGGCGTGTCCGTGCTCAGGGGGAGGGGCTGCATGAAGTGTGGGATCAGAGCGTGTGCGGCGGCCTGTGACACTGCTACGGCACCAGGGTAATGAGTGCAGCCCCCGCCCCATGCCTCCCCCATCTCATTATGGAGAATATTTCGAAACATTTCTTCTTTCACGCCATGAGCTTTGAATGAAGGAAAAGAGAGCTGATCACTGTGGTTGGTTTTCACACAATTTATCATTTGAAAATACATGTCTGTGTTGGTCTAAAACTTACTTTAAAGACGATTACTGGATCTTAAACATGATCATGACACTACTGACTTTTCACTTTCATGTTTTAGAATGTGAAATCACTTAACCTGACTTCACATGTTAGGTATCTGTGCATAATTCATATTTGTGTTGAAGGGGTTGGTAAAAATATGCTTCAAAACACACAATGCAACAAGCTCTTGTTTTAATTGGTCAACAGTCGTTAATTTGCATCATGTCCTGGTAATTCTGCCTTAAATCGATTATGTCCAGCAGCTTAACAAGAATCCAATGTTGTTCCTTATCTCTTTAACTCGAGCAAACAGGCCACAATTAGCTGCGTCTCCTTCTATGGCATCTCTTCATTAGCTGCAACAATGAGTCCAATTACCCACAATACCGAGCAGTCTGCGGGGGGTTGGACCGGTGCCAGGGTGACATCATTACCTCGTCGTTTGGGCCGATCGAGTGACTGCGTTTGAGAATTTGAGATTGACCAGCACAAGTGAATGCTGTTGACGCCGGGGGTCTAACATGTGTTTCTCCAAACTCACACGGCTGATTTTTCATAAACGTGAAAAACGCCGCAGTAGCACGTTGAGGCTCATTATTGACAAAAGATTCGTCAAAAGCCATTAATACAAAGCCATTAATACAGCCTAAATGAAGATCATAGAAATGGTTTAGGATATGTTTTTGTGTATACTGGCCATTTTTGCAATACTTTTTATTTAAAACATTTTAAAGAATAAAACAAACACACAAAGGGGCACAGTTGATGTACAGATATAAAAACATAAACATATTCATACTTAAAACTACATACTGTATCTATATGCGCATACTGTACCTACACATAGAAAGACAAGAGCCTAAGCCTCTTTCAACCTGGAGAGACTACAAGAGACGAGATGCGTTTAAGAGTTGTTTATTTTATGGATTGAGTTTGTTTATTGGTTTGGAGCTTAGGCCGCGGCTGTGGCCGTGCCCTGAAGAGATCTGCGCCTGGGTGCAGATCATGATCCCCCGGGGCCTAGACACTGGTGGTTGCAACAAGGCAAGGTGAATGTGAGAGTGAAGAAATCCTGAGGCGGAGGTGGGGAGGAGGTGGTTGCAGCTTGAAGTCCGTTTGGTGAGCTGTGCTCTCCTTTGCTCTTAAACGCTGGCTTGATTGACACGGCTGCGGGGAGTTGATTAAGACAGGCTGAGTAAGGCGTGGTCAAGCCTGGTGTGATAACGTAGGTAGTCTACCATCCTGAACCTCCGCTTAAGCTGCATTTTTATTTTCCCACAATTTTCTTCCAGCTTTTTTCAAAGATGTTTCTCTTGAGTTGAAATGAAAAATTAAAAATGGACTTTCCATTGAATAAATCTCTTCAATGACATCTAACTAGAGGTCCTCACATTTGGCCAACGTTACAACATGATCCATTTCTCTTCAAAGTAAATTGGAGAACCAGATGTTGTTTCATAAATACATTGTGTTTGCCCCAAAAGAAAAAGTCTTATAACATTCTTTTAAATACTGAGAGCTGATTGGTGGAGTGAAAGTTTGCACTGCCCTTTTACGTCAACTGTCCTTTTTACTGAAAAAGCTGATCTAAAGCTATGACAAAGAGCAATAATACATGTTTGTGAAATCTAGTGATATCTCAGAGCCTGTTTGAGCGCAGGACCTAATTACATGGATTTTATGACATAGAGCGTTAAATAACCCTCTGGTCTATTAGAATGTGTCTGTGAAAGGCATTAGGGAAATTGCCCCCCCCCCAAAAAATTTGCATGTCCTCCTTTGGGTTTATATAAAGCTTGGAACCAAAAAAGAAAAAAAATCCAAAACTAAAAGCAGATAAACAAGCACTAATCACTTTTTCTGGGTTTAAAAATTAGATTAGTATTTGGACTTTTCCAGGTTTTCGATGATTATATGAAACCTGGAGAAAGTTGACCAGTGATAGATGCCCCCCCCCCCCCCCCCCATCTGTGTTTAATTCCCTAAATTACTCAAAAACATAAATTCCAACTCAAATCCCAAAAATACAACATATATTTCCAAACATTATTCCGTCATACAAGCCTTTTGGCCAGCACAGTCTTCACACGCCCCCCCCCCCCAACCCTCTCTTTTGGATTCACCCGACTACACTCAAAAATATTATTCCATCGTCAACAATTGGAACATATTTTACGATCGCTCTTATCCCCGCGTCGACACACCACACTGCTTCTGCCTGGACTCTCGCACAGAGCTGGGAATCGTCTCTAATGTGTTTCCAATGTCACCTCCGCCTAACACCCCCCCACCCCTTTCACCTGATAATCCCGCCGTTTTATTACGCCATAAAAGTTTGCCTTGCACGCCGTTCCTTACAATCCGCATTGACAGGGCGAAATATCCCGAAGAAAAGACGCAAACTGGGATATCTTTTTTTCCTCCGGTGGTGTAATAGGAATATATGGACTGGCGTTGGGTTGGATGAGGTCTTGAATGGTGGAGCGTGAAGACAATTACAGCGAAGCGATTTGAGCGGATCGTTGCGGAGTCTCGTTGGCTTCGGGACCATGCTTGAACTCTCCTTGAACTTAAAGGCGATCCGTGGCTATCGGCGCGTCCGCATCTGGTTGTTTTAGCGCCAATTTGCTGTACTAATGCGGCGGTTAAGGCCTGATGTATGTGGCCCCTCGTAAATGGAGGGAACGCACAGGAGATGGGAGAGGAGCAGGCAGCGTGTTGGAGGGTTAAAGGTGCAAATGTTCAGTAAGAAATCTTTATTTATGTAGCGCCTTTCACAGACCAGAGTCGATTTGCCTCTCACTCCACACAGACAGATGGGAGCCGAGTCACCATACAGGAGACCCATTCCACATCTATTGTACATGTTTTTAGTGGTAGACGAAACCGGAGCACCCGGAAAAAACCTACACAGACACGGGGAGAACATGCAAACTCCACACAGAAAGGCCTGGAAGGGGAATTGAACCCAGGACTAGAGTTTCGCTTTTCAGCCCGAGCCCGAGCAGGCCCAAGCCCGACGCCAAGTTCGGGCCGGGCTCGGGCCTCATTTCAGCGCTCAGCAGTCGGGCTGTGCCGGGCTCGGGCTCCTTTTTTTAATTTTTTTTTTAAAATCATTATTATTATATTTTTAATCATTATTATACTTAATAATATGCATATATGTATTTATTAATAATAATGTCCGTTGATTGACAACAAGTTATTTAAAAAGTTAATATATTTATAACACCGTAACCGGCGTGTCCTACAGCCGCAGCAGGCCGTGAACGCATCATCCCTGTTTTTCCTGTTGAATGTGTAGGGTATGAAAATTGTATGTGGAGAGGGGAGGCTTTGTATCAGTTTGTGTCAGTATTAAACGTCGCAAACGTAGTCCTAAGCCTCGCCTACTCCGGGTTGAATGGATCTAAATTTTAAGTAAGAGGGGCACCAGCAGAGTTCGAAAAGTCTGCACAGATCCATTCTGCCTCGATCAGTCTCATAATCTGATAGGTCTTGAGCTCTATATCGACCAGGGATATCCTGAATTATACAAAGAACACTGACGACTCTTAAAAGTTAGCGTGAGTTTATTAACTACATATAGAAACGGGAACGGTAACCGGGAGGGATCACACAAGTATGATAAGTCACATGAACAGGAATGTCAGAAACACATCACCATCACACACAATACAACTCCAGAAAGTCCTACTGTTACTGCCAAGTCCCAGAGGTGACGGTGCTTTCTACCCGTTTGGGTCTGGCGGTCAAACATTCCAGTCTTTCCCACACACGGGAGCAGGGAGCGGGGATCGGTCCAGGGAAGCCCAGAGGTGGCTTGAGGCGCGATGGTCCACGGTGCTCCTTTTTGGTGGGAGTTGGAGAGCATTTTTGCCGCTGCGGGACAGGCAAGTCGAGTTCAGCTCGATAGGGAAAAGGATCGGGCAGCTGTTCGGGCAGCGAGCTCCAACCTGCGCCTGGGTTGAAGTTGTGGGCCCCTGGATCGCGCAGGGGAGTGGGCCGCGCTCCAAGACGCGGCCCACTGGCCCAGAGAACGTTTCAAAGAGAGCTCCCAAAAGGTTCACAAGCAAAAGTTAAGTTGAAAAGTTGCTGTCTCTGTTTTTGTTCCGGCTCTGGGGGCGTGTCTTATGACGTCAACTTTCCGCGCCTCCAGAACTCCTTTCATGAAATCATAGTTTTAACCACATACACGTTACTTAGACATAGACACACAACACACCTTGTTCACAGACAATGCTACACACGTTTTCTGATTTAAGATGTTAGCAAAACAACATATTCATCCGTGGTTTCAGTTGTCCGTCTCAGGTGTATTGGCGTCCCGTGTCCACTGGGGGGTGGTGGAACGCCGTTGCCGGATCGCCGGCCCATGGGTGATGTCTATGGCTTTGTTTGAGGCGATGCAGACCCACTGGCCCCCCTTTGAACTCGCCGGGGGTGGGGGCCAGAGGTGTGCTCTGGGGACGATCATTGTCTTTGAGAGGACTGCTGTATCTATGTGAGCCATTGTGGTGTTCTATCCGACCTCCATCGCCTTAGATGTTCAGAGCCGTGTGTTTTTGTTATCTCACACACAACCGGCTTGGCTGGGTCATCGCGGGGGCAGTGCATTTTATTACCTTACAAATTCTACGGTCAACAGCGAACACACGGACCATTAATAGAAATGGATCGAGTGGAGGAACAAAACAAATTCAGAAGTGGCTAAACTTGCATTTGGAAGGTGAGTGCGCACAACAAGGGAAATCAGATGTGTCGGGCTTCTGTCGGGCTCGGGCCTATTATACAACCTTAATTGGTCGGGCTTAAACGGGCTCGGGCTTAGCGGGCTCGGCCCAGGTCGGGCTTGATTTTTCAGGCCCGAACGAAACTCTACCCAGGACCTTCTTTACTGTGAAGCAAAAGTGCAGCTAGAGCAGGTCTATTCAACTTGCTTCTCCTTTTTTTTTCTTTTTTGAAGAATTAAGCAAGTATGGGACAAATTGCATGATACAGAAACGGTGCAAATCACTATTTACATAAGATTCATACAGATAAGGAATAAAAGAAAGTAGGGAGAGGAGGGGGATTCTAAACTGGTTCAATGCATTTTGGATGGTTTGTGTGTGTGTGTGCGTGTTCTAAGTTAGACATCATGCCTTAAAAGAAGACATTATTCTAAATTATAAATTTACATTTTTGATATTTTAACCTATTTTAACTACATTGTTTTTAGATCCATCCTCACTATTATTAACTTCTGCAACCCGTTAAAAACATATTACAAGTTAATGTAAGCACACAGTTGGACTGAACATAATCCAGAAGGTGCATTATTTAGATCTCTGTTTCCTTCAGTAGTCTGTAGGTCTGGCCTTGGTGCAACTGCTGGGTCATTGTAGTAATAATGCTGCGACACGGACCAGTATTTGTCCCAGTAAACACATACACACAAACACACACTCATGCGCACCGCCACCAAACACACACACACACACACACACACACACACACACACACGCAAACACACACACACACACACACACGCCATAATCTGACCATCCTGTGGCACACGACTTTCAAGATGTTTTCCCCTCTCCTGTGCTGGCGCCTGAGTGTGGAGGCCATCTGCTCCTGCACTGCTCCTCTTTTGGGGCCGATCGAGGTGCTAAAAATGATGATGTGGTTTTGGGTGAGGGTGGGCGGGTGAGGGGGGTGGAGGGGCCGGTTGGCGTGTCCTTTGCTGTCAGTCACACACAGAGGACTGGGACCCAGGGCCACAGCAGAGGTGCTTAAGATGTGAGCGGGTTTATGTTGCACATCCAAAGTCGGGAACATTAGGACTTTGTGGCATAATGACAGATGATGCAGGACTGAGCAGGGAATTTAACCATACACTGTTTATTTGATCAAAGACCTCATCTGTGAATGGAACCTCGAAAATTTGACTTTTCAAAGCATTTGTGATCACGTCTTTTATTACTTATAGCGACTGCTTAACCGCCGTCCGCTCTTGAAACATTTTGTGATAGGTTTGTTTGTGACCTTCCTTCCGTTACTCCGTCAGACATTTTTGAATGAGTTGTCATTTAAAGAAACAAGCCGTACATGTGACAAGGAAATGTCTTTTCTTTTTGATGACCTCGAAGCTGGTGTTCGGCCACCATGAGAAGGAGGATCTGAATCGGGCAATAAGCTCAAAGAAAAGGGAAAAGGACCTGGAGACTTCCTTTGTTAGCTTGTTTAGCATAAGACCCTGGGGACATTCCTAACTTCTGTCTAAATTCTCCTCCAGAGCTGGTTATATACGCTATCATGAATCCTTACATTATTTTACATTATGTCTCCAAATGTTGTGTCTGCTCATACTGTATTTTTTAAAGCATGCTTACTTTTCATAAACAATACTTTTTGTTTGTCCCAAAAGAAAATAACTTATGAACAAACTTTGAGAGAGGGTGGTCCTCCCTTTTTTACTTTTCAAACATGGCCAAACATGCAGAAAAACTACTGACAGAAACAAACTGAGAGAAAGTATTGTATCTTCTATCTTGCAGAAGACCAGGTTTTTGTACATAAAAGTGTTGGAGAGGGAATGCACTCTGGATTATGTATCAAGAATGTAATGACAAATTAAAATACAGGAATAAAACATAATACATGAGTCAAATTCTGGCTTGAACATCAGCGCGGGTCTACAGAGAGGATGATGACAAAAAGACCCAGAGACAAAGGTGCCAGCTCATTTGTTTTGAAGAACGCCTATGGCCAGGGTGCAGAATGTACCATGGGCCCCTAAATGGACAAATCGATCTCTCTGCATTTCTCTCTCTGAGACAGAATACAGTCTGGTATCCCAAAAATTAATATAAAGTTATAGCCATATTTATTTTCATGTGAAGGCAGATCCTCTGAAGCTAAGAAGAGCAGGACGTGGTTATTACTTTGATGGGAGAACTCTGGGAACACCAGGTGCCACAGTGGAGCCACAGTGGGGCACTTTACAGACCTGCGTCTGCAAATATCTGTCTTCTATATAAAATCTTCCGAAATTTGGCACCCCCACCAAAACATTTGTGAGGAGGTGAGAATAAGATCCACCAGAGCCACATCCAGAGGAGACTGTTATGTGAACTTTACAGTAGGTCCTCCTTATTTGGTCAGAACTGTTTCTCTGTCAAAGCAGCAGTGGCCTGGAACTCACTACATCTGTCTGTGCGGGAGAGTAGCTCACTAGGACAGTTTAAACTCAGCCTAAAAAACTGGCTCAAAGAGAATCAAGTCTGTAGTCATTAGTCAGATGTAAATTATTGTGTGTTGTATATTTTGTATACACTGTATTGTCTGTGTGATTAGAGGTGGTGTATTTTACTAATTAGGCCATTCTTTCTATTCATCAATTCTTTGCACACTGTAAACCTGCTGTCACGTTGCCTCTGCCTCAGGAACTACGGATGAAAATTAGCTTGTAGCTATGTCCGGTCTGAACAATACATTGTGCAATGTCCCCGTCGAATAAACAAATAAATAAAAACTGTCGTTGTGTCCTTAGGCAAGACACTTCACCCACATTGCCTAGAATGAGTTTGGTGTGTGTGTGAATGGCTGTTGGTGGTAGAAGGGTACATACTGGTTTTCTCGCTTCTGTCAGGTGGTTATAACCACCGTGTATGGGATGAAAGAATAATGACACGTGAAGCGTCTTTTAGTGTCCTGAAAAACGCTATATAAAACCGATTATTATTAATAAATCACAACATCATGTTTTAAAATATAATGCATGTTATTTTTTATTTGGATACCTAAAATGTACCTGAATTTGTGTTTTAATGGTACAATCTGATTGATCACATCCACCAAGCGCAGCAGCAGCGGGAGCGGACGGAGCCACACCTGCCTTTCATATGTGGCTCATCTCAGGGGAGCAGAGGAGCAGTGCTACCCCAGCAGGAGGCCTTGTCCCCTGGCTACAGCACAGGCCTCGTCCCGCTCTGGCCTTTGAGTGAGTGGAGGTGACCACGTAAAGCTCGAAGCTGCCCGCTCAGATCTGTGTCCAGCCGAGAGTGACCTACAAAAGAGACCGCACACAGGGAGGCGTGCTGTGCTGCTGTCGGCCATGTTGGACAGGTCATCACACCAAGAATAGCCTTTGTGCTGGTGACTGGAGCTTTACATGCTATACATGTCCTCATGTGGAAGAATACATTGGTCAGCTATATAACATTATTATAATCTACCACAAATGTATCTGTTTTTAACTGTTGAAATTATTCAACATTTGACGGCATTTATGGACGTCTATTAACATTTGTGGGCACATGTACAATGGCTCTATGTGTTTTGTTTATCATGGCATTTCCTGTGTTTTAACTTTTCGTGTCTCTGAGCTGTGTTGACGAATTGACAACTTGGTGAAGTCCTACTTGGTGATTACTACTGTTGTGAATTAGGGTAATACAAATTAAATTGAAGTGAAATTACAATATCATTATGAAAGCTATTTCAGAAGGTTGCAGCACAAACCGCAGCTTCATGCAGAGACTGTGAGGCACTGTGCTTAGGTAAATTTGTTTCTGCACACAAAGTGGGACAAGGCATTTATGAGTGTAATTTGCATGTTCTTCCTGTGTTTCCTCTGGGTGCTTCAGTTTCTCCTACCACTAAAAAAGGTAAACTCCAGCTTCAGTCCTGTCCCAGCCGTATATTGACATGCAGAGATAGGTTATTTTCTGATTCTGCCATAAACAAGTAATGTGTTAGTAGTGCTTTTTTTTTTTAAGAGAAAAAATCTGTAGATTGTCAACTTTGGCTGATTTTGCGGAAAGAGTGGTGCGGGTGGAACTGATTACTGAAGTCTTTTTCATAGATTGTCACTAAAGGCAGAAACCTGTTATGTCTCCTATGCAGAGTCAATCAAGCCACGTGATCCAAGATGGCGTCCTATTCAAATGAATGGCTTGTGCTCAGTAGCGCATGGGACTTCATGGGGACCGGGATATTAGCGGAACTCGCCTATATTTGGGCATCGTCTGGTCCTCCCGGTTCTGCGCAGTGGACAAACACCCATGGTGCGTTGCGCCAAATACGCGTGTGTGGCTCTCATGCACGCGCATGGAGGGGCTTGGCTGCGCTTTGACCAATCAGCGCTGCTCATTAGAGCAGCAATAGTGCGGAGCCAGAGCGGGGAAAGGAAAACTGCCGAGTTTGTGGCAGTAAAGTGTGGATTTAAAGAAAACTGAAGGATTTTAGAAGAAAAATTGTTCAGGATGACAAGGAACACTAAAATCCCCACAAAATCCAATCTTTATGAAAGCTCTAGTTTCTCAGTCAGCTGAGGTCGAGCTGGTGTAGTTTACGCTGAGTTCTATGGGACTTTATTCTGCTATGAGTAATACCCTATCCAGTTATTATTATAGATCCATGGACTCAGTACATGCAAATTGACAAATGTCTTGTCTTTATTTGTTTGTTTTGCTTACACTAAATTTTCAAAACATTCATTCTATTTTTCTCAAGTCATTGGGTTTTTCTTTTACAAATTGTTAGCCATAACTATCAACATTTTAACAAATAAAGGCTGGATACATCACCCTATGCGTAAAACGAATGAATTAGTTTGACATTGTAGGTTAAATTATAGACGTAAATCGACATTTTGAACAATATTCTAACTTTCCGGGTTCAAACCAAGAAAATTGCCAAATTCTTGTGCATTGCGAAAAATAAAGGTGTTTCAAATGTAGTTGTTTTTTACATTGTAAGATTTGTGTAAGAGACTCTGTAGTGGTTATCACAATATGGCCCCTCAAGACGCCTGCATATGCTCAGTAATAATAATAATAAATACAAAATAAGGCTATTCTATCAGACCATCTACTTCCCTCACAGTTCTAAGTCAGAAAAGCTCCTTGCTGTAATTACCTACATAAATGATTGAAGCAACATTGAACCTCTCAGTATCATAAAAATGTTCCCTCATGGGCCATTAATTATACTGCTGTGAATTTCATGGTCAAAGGACTTGCAGCCTCAAAAACAGCAGATCTTCAGCTAAAGAACATTGTCAGCGCAGAAACAGGCAATCGAGGAAAGAAACACGCCATGAACAACGCCATCTTTATTACACTCATATTTAGCAGGACAAAAATAGGTTTTATGCACCTTTTTAGCATTGTGACACACCTGAAAAACAATACAGGATATTTTGGTGAAATCCATGTTCTCTCAAAACCTGTATCATTCTAGCATTTAGAACAGTGTAGGCCCTTTTAGGTTTTCAGGTATATATTTTAAAAAGTGCTAAAAATACACTTGGTGAGAATGGATAAAATTAAGTGGATGGGGCAAGAGACGGTTATTAATAAATGCTTGAATTGACTTTTGTTTGGCGACCCAATTCAAAAACATGCTGCATACTTAACCTATATTTGAAAATGATCAAAAAAAATTGTTTTATTTATCTTTATTTTTATTCATTATTTGCTTCAAGATTTGCCCCAGAGAGGCACAAAGTAGTTGTAAGAATATTGATATAATAGTGAGCTACACTGCAACACATAATACAATATAATCTTATAACTGCTTGATGGATCTGTTTTTATCTTAACTTTAGTGTAGACGTTTAGTATAGGAGTCTACACTGACTGCCAAGACAATAAGATTATTTAGGTTTTGAGATAATCTGTCATGATCTGCTCCTGGAGTGCCCTCTCCCTCCCTTTTTGCCTGCTGCTCCAATCAACACACCTGAATTCACACCTGGGTTCATTGTCACCAGCACAAAAGGAGCAGCTCTACAGACGCTCCCCGCCAGTTTGTCGCTTCTTTGACACTTGTCA